CCCGTGACATCTTGGTCATGCTCATCGTGCTTCTTTCCTCGATTCTCTCTTCGGCTGCACACAAGAGTGACCCCAGGCAAGAGTAACCTTTGGTGCGCGGCTTTCAGAGGGGCGCGAGGGGGCCAAACCAAAGTGCGCAGGCCGCTGCTATCGCATCGCATTCGGCGATCGGGGGGCACCAGTGGGCCCGCACCAAAGGTCACACTGGCGAAGGGCAGGAGAGCCCAGGATCGGATCGACAAGTCGGATCGGCGATCGACATGAATCGGATCGTCGGAAATCGGCAGCTGAGTCGGGAAAAGTCGGATCGGCAGAAATCGGCAGGCTAGTATGCCTCCAACAAGCAATCGGAACTCAAATCGGAATCCCAGATCGAGTCGAATCGGAATCGGAAACCATCGAAATCGAATCGAATCGAATCGGAGGAATCGAAACGAGCCCGGTCACCCTTACGTATCGTCGATCTCTTCCCCCGCCTACTCCCCGGCACGCCTCACAGGCAGAGGGCAGGGGCTGCCGCACGGGCACGCTGGGGCATCGGCGCTGCGAGCGGGCGGGCGAGCGGGCGGGCGAGCGCCAGTGCCCCAGGTCACCTGGAGTCGCGCATCGCGCCCCTCGATGCGAAACGCGCGGCGATCCTAGCGCCACCGCGCCATCGCGCCCTCGCCCCCGTGGGGAAGGGCAGCCTATCTGGCCCGAGCCGCGACGCGCGAAGTGTGTGTGATCATCTTCGCGCCCCTGGGGGTCACCTGCGTGCGGGGCACGTGGGTGTGCCCGTGCCCTTTAGTGCAAGTCCCAAGACGGTGCGGTGACAGACCCTGCGGTGACCTCCACCGCACGGTCCGCCACCGCACCGCCTTGGGGACCCCGGGGGCCCCGCCAGGGACACCATCAGAGAACTTCTGCCGCCGGCGGCGAGGCAGCGGCGGTCCGCTCCAGCGTGTGGCCAATCGGGGCAACCGCATGGCTACGTGGCCGGCGTGCAAGAGGATGGAACGGCCGAGCCCCCCCGCAGCGCGCGCCCGGCCCGAGCACCCCCCCTGGCGACGCACCACGCGGCGTGGTCCCGGAGCCGTCCTGGGAGCCCCCGACTGGCGGGCAGAGGACGCGCCGGGGCGCGGCCTCGCCCGGGGAGCCTCGCAGAGGGTGGGATGGGCGTGCAGGGGACGCGTGGCAGGCGGCCTCGCCTCCTCCCGCGGCCTCGGCCTGCAGCCTGCAGCCTGCAGCCTGCAGCCTGCAGCTCGCGCGCGCCCGCGGGTCACGCGGGCCTCCTGGCGCACCGGTCGATCTGGAGCGACCTCGTTTGCGAGCTGGCGAGGACAGGCCACTGGTTGGGGTGAAGACAATGTTCCTCCTCCTCCTCCTCCTCCTCCTCCTCCTCCTCCTCCTCCTCGTCCTCCTCCTCCTCCTTCTCCTCCTCCTTTTCGTCTTCGGGAGGGGGGGCAGAGCTTTTCGAAAAAACTGAAACAACAATCTGAAGGGTTCAGAAGGGGGGCCCTCCTACTCCAGGTGGATCACATGAAGGAAAACCCACGGGGAATCAGGAATCCTCAAGCAAGGGAGGGAGGGTCCATGGGGGAGGGATGCTTCGGAGAAGGTGAATCCCAGGTGGCTCTTCCTAATACTTCGAAGGACCTTCCCAGGTGCTGCCCCCCTGGCTCCTCAAGCGGCCCTCCCTCCCCAGGGCTTCACCCCCTGAATCCTCTCTCCACTATGGATCCCTTCTCTCCCCTGGAGGCCTCCTTCTCCACCGGCATCTCCCGCCATCTCTCCTCCGGGATCTCCCCCCCAGTCTCCCCCCCTCTCCCGCCTTCACCCCTTCCCTTTATCCCCATGGATCACCCATCACCTATCTCCTCCCTGCCCCCTCCTTTTCCTACCCCTTCCCCCCGCTCGGGGCCTGGGGAATAGAGGGTGAAAGCCAAAGGGGGGAACAGCAGTTGGAGGTGGAGGATGCTGCAGGAGGAACAGCAGCAGGACCCAAATCGAACCCTGTGAACCCCTTAGAACGCAGATCCCAAAATCCCTGCAAGAGGAGCAACCGCAGAGATATTTTCCGCCTCGCCCACCAGTGTGGCTGCGCTGGCACGAACTCGAATTCGGGTGCCAGCGTCGCCATGGCGGTTGCAGCCGCCCAGGTCGGAACATCTGAAGAGACAGCTGCGACCACTGCTGCTCCTGCTCCTGCAGCACGCACGCGCGTCGTGAAAAGAACACCATGGGCGTGGAAGCACCTGGGGCCCGCACGGATGAAGACGGCTCGAGGCACCCCGTGTGAAGGTGGGACCACGAGCTCCGGTCGAGGTTTCCCCCATCGCTGCGACCTAAACACGACGCCCAGTGTCGGGGCCCTTTCCTTCTCCCCGAAGGCAGCGCGGCACGCCGCAACGTGTATGCAGCGGAGGCCGCCGGCGTGCCGCGACGGCGCGCCCGGCAGCCGAGGGCAGGCGGGCTGCAAGTCCACTGCGCGCCCGGGCCGAACTGAGCCGAAACCGGGAGCAGGAGGAGGAGGAGGAGGAGCAGGAGGAGAAGAGGGCGGAGGAGAAGGAGGAGGGTACTGAGGGTACTGACAACTCGGGCACGTCATGGTGCCTCTCGCCACACGGCGTCTAAAGAGCTCAATCGCTATCGGTAAGCTCGGACGCCTCCTTCTGAGACCTCTGCCAGGACCTCTCCCACTGCACAAGATCGTCAGGCGAGGCGAAACCATGCAGCTTGGCGACTGAGACAGCCTACAGGCCCCGAAAGCAGAGGAGGCGAGACCTCCCCCCCGCACCAGATCCTCTGGCAACAGGGCTCTCGTGACTGCCAGCCGACCCTTGTCCTCCAACTGACTCGCTGTCAGGGCTCCCCGCAGCAGCAGCAGCAGCAGAGCACCCACCAGCAACAAGCAGAGGACCACGAACACCTTTCATCGCAAGAGTCGGTCCAAAGGCAGGGCCCACCCTGGCTTCGCCATATGCGTGCCCCGGGAATAACGCCCGCTTCAACATCGACCGCTGGGTCTTGAGGCCAGGATGCTTAGAACCCTTGCACTCCTCTCTGAATCCTCGCGCCGACGCGTGCGCCGAGGCTCCACAAAATTTGCAAAACAAAATATCATTGAAGTCCTTGCCCTGGTCAGTGACAGAGGCTTGCACAAGTGAGTGGCCCCTGACAACCCAGGGGACACCAGAGGCAGAGCCAAAGGAATCATCAACTTCCCCCGATTCAGCAGACCCTGTCACAGTGGGTGGAGGGGGAGGGCCAGGAGCGGGGCGAGGATGCTCAGCCTCCACAGCCAAGGCCCAGTCTCCGAACGGAGCCACATCTTCATCTAAACAGGCCTGAATTAGACCAGGGGGAAGATCAACATCCAAGACAATGTCCGCAGTACCTACCAGATCCTGCGAGTCAGGCTGCTCTAATTATCCAAAAACTTCCTGACACCTGCTCTGCCACTTGACAATGTCCGAGGCAATCCTTTCGCACCACGAGACAAAATCCAGGTGATCCTGAGGAACGTTCCAGAGACGGGCTCCTCTCTTGGCCCACTTATCAACCAGAGCACTACCTTTAATCAGCCATTCGTCCTGAGCCGAGGTAGCTGCACCTAGGCACCTGTGAGCCTCGACTTTACAAACAGTGGCCATTCTGCCTATGCCACTCCACCAGTCTCCCCACATTTGAGGACGGGGGTTAGAGGCTAAGAGGGCAATGCTGGAATATGTTGCACAGCCTAACGTGCCAGAACAATCAGTGTGGACAACCAGCGGGTGGTCAGTAAACCATTCATCATCTCAGTGCCACCCTACCTAGGAGTTGGAGCCCCTAGGAAAACAGCATTAGTAGTAACAGCAAAGCTAAGCTAAAGCTAAAGCTCAGCTAAAGCTAAGCTGAAGCTGAGCTAAAGCTAGGCTAAAGCTAAGCTAAAGTTAAACTGAAGCTAAGCTGAAGCTAAGCTAAAGCTAAGCTAAAGCTAAGCAAAAACTAAGCTAAAGCTAAGGTAAAGCTCAGCTAACGCTAAGCTAAAGCTAAGCTACAGCTGAGCTAAAGCTAAGCTAAAGCTAAGTTAAAGCTAAGCTAAAAGCCTAGCTGAAGCTATGCTTCAGCTAAGCTAAAGCTCAGCTAAAGCTCAGCTAAAGCTAAGCTAGAGCTAAGCTAAAGCTAAGCTAAAGCTGAGTTAAAGCTAAGCTAAAGCAAAGCTAATGCTAAGCTAAAGCTAAAGTTAAAGCTAAACCCCAGGGGACTGGGGGAACCGCTCCCAGGGGATACTGGGGGAACCGCCCGGGGCGCTTTCCACTGCCCGGCCCCTTTAAGCCCAGAGAGTAAGAACCCTTCTAGGCAGAGCCCAGGTAGGGAACTAAACAGAAAGAGAATCCTGAACCCCCAGTCCTCCCCGCCCCGAGCCGCCTGTCCCGGGGCCGCGCGGAGCGGCACCGCGCCGTACATGGCGCCGACCAAGCTGCCAAGTGGGCCCATCTGAATGACCGACCATCCGGCACGACTGAAACCCTGGAGGCGGGAATGCAACGCCGAGCCGTCTACAAAGATAGCGCCCGAAAACTTCCACCCAAGGAAAACTCCAACAAACCTGAGCTGGCCCCCCTGGGGAACCTCTTCGCAAGGGAAGCGGAGGGACGGGGAGGGGAAGCAGCATCTAGCCATGAGCTCTCCAGCTTCCTCCCCGATCTGCCTCCCATACCAGGCGGCCTGCATGACATGGCGAGGGCGCTCCTCTCGCCTGGCCTGGAGACACCTGGGGCAATCATAAAAGAGGTGCCACAAGGTGCCTCTCGTGCCACAATGAACGCAAGCATCTGACTGAATCTCACCTCTGGAATGCAACCGAGCTTGAGGCCACTGGGATCAACCGACCAGGCTCCGAACGGCCGCGGGGAGGCCAGTTGAAGGGGGAGACCCAGCGGGCTTGGAGTCTCTCCAAAGCCACAATGTCTGAAGCCTGGAGCGCCAGAGGCCTGACAAGATCAACAAAGAATGCAGGAGAGAAGTCAGCAATGTTGAACTCCCCTAATCTGGGATGCCAAAGCACATCGGCAGAGGGCAAGGCGCAACCGACCCTGGCAAGAGAAAGAACTGCAGCCTGAGACGGGTCACCAACTTGTGACCAAGGCCTCTGTTTTTCCAGCAGGCAATGCGCTTCCTGCAGGCAGGCCTGCAGTGGGCCAAGCCCTGGCAAGACACACTGCACATTCAATGCCCAATGCTTGATCACATCACAGACCACAACAGCCCAGGGATCTCTGGTGGCCCCTGTGGGGACGACACGCAACCTGAGAGCAACCGAGGTGCCAGGAGGAATCCACCCTTCCCCTCTGACGGTGGCTAGCCTGAGAGCAGCAAGCTTCAAGTCAGCAATGCCCGCGACCGCCGCCCCCCACACCGCCGCCACCGTAGGAGAGCCCCTCGCTATCGCGCCGACGCTTGCCCCAGCTTTCCTCAGAGCGAAAACGCGCGCTGATACCGAGGCCGATTTGGTCATCCGTTTGTCCTGCTCCGTGGCACTTCGCGCAGCACCACTGTTGGCGTCTGCGCCTGGAACCCTGCCGCTGCTGAGGCTTTGCTCAGAGCTGAGGTTCCACCTCTGGTTGAGGTCTTGGTCAAGATCCACCGAGATAGTCATGTAACCAGTCTTGTCCCAGTTGGCGACTAGTTGTCTGTGCTGCAGCGCGGCCACTAGATCCGACATGGCCCGAAGAAATTGCTCAAGCACATGGAGACGACCTCCTATGGCCTGCAGAAGGAAATCATCGACTAAATTCTGAAACCTGACAGCGGGACACTTCCGTTGCAGAGAGACAATCACAGCGTGGACTAAAAGCTTGGCCAGAGCAAGCGCGCAGCTGCAACCAGCCGCGACGGCGCCGCCTGCTCCGACCGCGTCTGAAATGGCAGCCTTCCACCGAGCTCTCCTGGGGGGGGGGGGCGATAGCCAGCACAGAGACACTCGAGAGGCTGAATCGGGAACCCCGTGGCCAGGCCTTCCCGCAACAGGTCCTCGCGAGAGATGTGCTCATAGCATTTGCTTAAGTCTGGCAGCCCACTGATGGCGGCGAAGCCTTTGAGCCTCGCAAATCTCTGAACTATGTCGTGAACATGGCCTGCCCCATCGCAGGTTAGGCCCGATCCGCCCCAGAGAGCCGAATCATTGAAAGAGAGCTCCCAGCTTCTGGCCACAGGTTGCCGAAGTCGAAACCAGATTCGCCCCCGGACCGAGGCCAGCACAATCGGCCGAACTCCCGAGGCAGGGGCCGGTTTACCTAAAAAGAAAATCATGCGGGTCCAGAGCCCCAAATCTTGCGGATCCTGCCCCCACTTCTTTAAGATGTCCAGGGGCGCCTGCTTGCAACTATCAGGGAGCCATAAAAAATGACGCGGATGCAAGTGGTCCCATCCTAGCCCACACGAGCCAGAGTACGACGACAATACTTCGTTAAGTTGCGCGATGGTGACCCTCGGAAGCGGCGCCCAGGGACCCAAACCACCACTAGGAACCAGAAGGCCCAGCGGCGGGACCGAGGCCTCCGAAGGCCTAGAGGGGACCACCCCAGGAGCCCAGCCCCCTGGAAGAACTTCACCATCACGCTTGGGAACCTTCCACAACGGTTCCCACTGTTCAAGCAGGCGACCGACTGCCTACTGACCCTCAACAGAGAGCGACGGCAAGTCGTCCGTGGCTTCCGTGTAAATCTGAATATCTGGCAGAGGCTCTCGAACATAGCAATAGGCAGCCACCCCCCCTTGATCTTTGGCCGCAGCTTTGGCCCAGGCCTTCCAGGCCGACGCGCTGGCAGCTCTTTCTTCACTCTGGAGGCGAGAGAGGTGACCCCTCAGACCCAAGAGGAACCCCAGAGCCCCACCCCCACCATCAGTAAGGAGCTGCACTAAATCATTCCTGGAATAGTTACTCCACTGCGCCAGGTTGGAGCCCTGCGGCCAGGCTGGCAGAGCAATACGCTGAACTGTGAGAGCCTGCCTACGCTGGGCAGCCAAAGACTTGAAGCCTTTCGCTCTGGACTCAGAGCTGATGGCACGCAGTCGCACGCAGGCCGAGTAGAAGGCGGTCCACTTCCTTCCCACAGCCGAACGGACCTGCCTGAGGTCACTCTGTCAGGCGAAATCTACTGCCACATGCTGCACCTCGAAGACCTTCAGCACGCCCCGAGTAGGCCGCGGAGCGCCGAAAGGTAATGCCATGAAATTCCAGAAGGTACTCCTCGACATATCTGAACCAGAGTTGACAGGCCGCCTGAAGATCCAAAGGCAGTTCGTCGCCAGGTCTCCATGTCCAGCTGCTGCGTGCTCGTTCGGTAGGCGCTGGCCGAACAGGGACTGGCTTGTCAATCGGGAACTTCATGGGCAGGAGGGCTTCGGGGACCTTGGCCTCCACTGAGACCTTTGAACAGCAAACCCACAGGGAGGTGAGAGCGCGCTGGCGCTCTAGCAATGCCCTTGATGACGCCGACGAACGGCATGAGGACCCTGCTGCACACAAAGTAGTCCAGTTCCCGCGCTCCAAAGGCGGGTTCCCCTGAGCAAGCCACATCAGCCCTGGCCTTGGCCACCCACGTCTGCATGTCCTCCGGGGCTAAGTTCCAATCAGCTCCGATGATCCACGGAAAGGGCAGAGAGCACACTGCATGGAAAAGACTGGCAAGTAGATCAATGTTGGCCCCGATGAGCCCGATGCTGGCGGACAACTACCCTGAGACCACGACAACAGGGATGGAGAGGCCGACGTTGACAGACATGGCCGAAGCTCTGGAATCCGACCCCCTTGATTGAGCCAGCTGCGAAGGATCCGCTGGGGACCTGCTGAGCACTGCACAGCCTGCACTGGACTCCGCGGGCCCCACACCTGTGCTGTCCGCAAGGGGCATGGAGACCTTGAAGCCTCGACGGGTACACCATTTACGGGCATTCGCCCGCCGAAGAGCATCCTTGATCCGATGATCTTGAAGCAACAAAATGTCTGGAAGACGGTTTTGTCCTTCTCCTTGGAGATCATGTTTGGCCCACCCCATCATGGCCTGAGCCGAGGCCCAGGCCGCTGCGTTGAGCGTCCATATGAGCAGGTCGGACTGCATTTTGCTACCCTCGCTTCTGTCGGTTGCAATGGGCTGCAATGTCGGCCAGGACGCGTTTGAGCTGCTCAGGGTCATCTGCTGTAGCCACCCCTGCGGCCTTGAGCTTGTCGCGGAGCTCGCTGTCCTCATGGTCGAAGTCCATTGGCCCTCCACTGGCAGCAGCACCTCCTGGAGGAGTTGCAGACGTAGCAGAGCCTGGACCACCAGGCGGGAAAGCAGCGCAGGCAGCGGGCGGTTTCGGCAACTGCTTCTGGAGCTCCTCCTGCTTGACGGAGGCCGCCTGGAGTAGCCCTGCGGCATCCAGCCCAAAGCGCCCCGCGTACTTCCGCACCGCCTTGTCCATGACCTCGAGCATCTCGAGCTCATGGGCTGGATCGACTTCTTCGGGACCAGTGGGCGGCTCTGGGAGGACCGACTTGGACTGGGCGTCCTTGATGTAAAACCCAATTTGGCAGAGGGTGTCCTGATGGGCCTTGGACTGCGCGAGCTCCGCATCGGCGTGTCGCTGCGCCTCCTGCAGCGCCTCTCGCGTCTCCTTGATCCTCTCCTCGGACTTCTCCATATGCTTCTTCTTGTGGGTGCGCCTCTAAAGAAGATCCTGCCAGCTCTTGGAACTGAGGTCAGCTGGCGGAGGCGGCTCATCCTTTTCCTTGTCCTTGTCCTTGAACATGTCCTGCAGCTGCGTCTCCAGCTCGGAACCATCCTTGAGACCTTTCTCCTTGAGCAACTTGATGAGGTCGTCATTGGGCAAGGCTGCCGCGGCAGCTGCCTTGCCCCCTTTGCCTCCGCTACCACCTTTCCCCCCATCCTGCACAAGCCGCGGTGGTCCATTAAGCCAGCGGTTGGGGGTCGGCGACACTTTGGCATTCTCTTTTGCACGCTGCTGGTTGAGAACATGCTGCGGTGCTTTCGAGCCACAGTCCCGACAGGTAGACCTGAAGGAGAAGTTGCCGAAGGAGCAGCACGTGTTGCGACAGCGCCACGTGGCTTGACCTTGAACCGCCTGCCACGGAGGCGTATTGCCGCCTCGATTCACGAAACACTGGGGTGGTTCGGTCCAGCTGCGCCACTTCCACATGCGCTGGACCAAAGGATCACAGATCAGCTCGAAACCTGGAAATGGCTAGAAGGAGGAGGAGGAGGAGGAGGACCCCCCGGGAGGAGGGAAGGAGGAGAAGGGCGGGAGGAAGAGGAGGGAGGAAGAGGGAGGAGGAGGAGGAGGAGGAGGAGGAGGAGGAGGAGGAGGAGGAGGAGGAGGCTCCCCGCGCTGGCCTCCGAGTCGGGAGGCCCCACAGGCGCGTCGCCGGCCGCCCAGGCGGCCGAGCCCTCAATTGGGCACCGCTGCGACAGCAGCGCACCGCTGCGTGCAAGCATGGCCTGCGGGCGCGCGCTACGGCGCGGCCCGCCGCGCTGGGCCGCGCGAGGGCTCGGAGTACGACCAGGCGCCGCCCTGGGCGCCCTGCACGAGCTCCGAGGTGGGCCAGAACACCTGCGGGCGTGGCCGCACCGACCCCCCTGTCCGAGGCGGGCCTCCCGAGCGGGGTCTGAGCAGGTGGCGGCCCGAGCACCGCGCCGCCTCGCCGCCGCGTCCCCGATGCGTCAGCGATGCAGCCGCGACGTCAGCGAGGCCCTTGGCGCCGTCGGCGTGGAGACCATCGGGCTGCACACCGAGCCGCACCGCTGATGCTTCGGCGCTGCGGCGCGACCCTCCGACCTTGCCTGCCTGCTCGGACGCCATGTTGGAGGCCAGGGCCTGCGGCCGTCCCCCTCCGCGACGAGCCCGCGGCACTCCCCCAGAGGTGCGAGCGCGGCTGGTCTGAGGGGGGTCCAGAGGCCAGGATCAGCCAGCATCGGATCGAGAAATCGGATCAAATCGAAACCTATGTCGTACCGGGCCGCATCGGCACAGAGTCGGATCGCATCGGATCGGATGCGCCAGGATGCACAACGGCAATGTGCAAACACCAAGATACCAGAATCGAAGCGGATTGGGCTGGACGGAATCGATATCGGCTCAGATCGATCGGGTTAGAATGAACCCAGAAGGTGAGCAGAAGGGGTCGGCGTACACTAGGGGCTTATGCTGCCCGCGAACACCGCGTCCGGCTCCAGGGACGCGACGTTGTGGCGGCCGGCCAGGTCCACCGTCTCCAGGCGCAGATGCCGCCGGTCTCCGCCGCAGGCGCGCGAGGGCGTGGGATTGGACAGCACAGGCTCGCGCCTGTCCAGCTCAAGTAGGGCGTCCAGGGTGGGCGTGGGCGCGCCGTCCACCGCAATCACGAAGTCCCCCTCGATGCCGCCAGCTTCGGCGGGAGAGCCGAGCATCGTGCGCGAGATGTAGACGCCGCTGGGCGCCGCAGTCATCAGCCGCACCGACCGCGGCGTGTCCTGCAGCACCAGCCCGTGCCAGCACATCAGCCTGCGCGCGCCGTCGCTGCCTGGCAGCTCCAGCTCCCTCTCCACCTGGCGCGGCTTGCCCTTGGTGAGCACCGTGACCTTCACCGTGGCGCTGCCCTCCTTGCCCTTGGCCTGGAACGTGGCCAGCGCCTCCTGCAGTCTCGCCTGGGCGCCCTGGGCGGTGGAGACCACCTCGCCGTCGATGGCCACCAGGATGTCGTTCTCGGAGATGGCGGAGGCAGTCGCACCCGTCGCGCACTTGGGCGCCTCGACGCCTGCGACCTGGAGCGCGGTCTCCCCTATTGCGGCGAGACGCGCCAGCCACTCGGCCGTCGGCCTGGTGCGCGCAGGGAGCCGCCGCAGCCGCTGCAGCTCCATGGCCCGCAGCTCCAGCCCCAGAGACGGCGCCGCACACATCGTGCTCATCGCGCCACGGGTCCACTCCAGGATGTGCAGCAGGGCGTAGGTCGGCACGCAGTAGCTCGTCCGGGCCGCCCGGTTGTCGTCCACAGACACGGAGACCGTGCATAGGCCGTGCACCTTGCCCTCCCCGTCGCAAATCACACCGCTGCTCGTCCCAGGCGCATCACCCGCGAGGTACACCGCCTCCAGGTTGTGTTCACGCCACCGCGGCGGTGAGTGCTGCGGGAACTCGCCCAAGCGCACATCCTGCACCGTGGTCTTGCTGGCGAAGCGCTGGCCGCGCGCGTTGATGCCCACGAAATCCACCTCGTCCCCGGCCTCCAGGCGCTTGTCCTCGAAGATGGCGTCCACGCCGAACGGCTCTGCGTCCTCCGCCGGGTACCCGTCCAGGCGGAGCAGCACCAGGCTGTGCTGCGGGTGCACGTAGGTCACCGTGGCGGCACGCGAGACGTCACCCATGGAGACCTCGATGTCCCCGAGGGGCTGCGGCACGCTGGCGCGATCGGTCAGGACCGCGCCGCCCTTTGCGTCGATGACGATCCCCGTCCCCCGCCGACACAGGACGTCGTTCTCCTCCTCGTCCGGCTCGACCACCACGTCCGTGTCGAAGTTGGGCACGGTGCGGAACGTGACCGCGCAGAGGCTCCGCTCCAGGGCGGCCGCGGGCCCCGTGAGCTTCGCCATCCGGAGGCGCTTGGCCACGGGTGCCGCGCCGAGGGCGGCGTCCAGTGCGTCCGCCGCGCTCGGGGCCGCGGTCGGCGGATCGGGCTGCAGGCCCTCCACGTCCCGCGGCGTCCACGATCGAGCATAGCGGTCCAGGCACCACGCGCGAAAGGCAGACCAGTGGCGCTGCATCTTCACCACCGCCTCCTTCCTGCGGCGGTCCTTGCCGTTCGGGGTCATCCATTGCACGGAGAAGTGCTCCCCGTCTGGAATCTTGCGCAGCGCCTCCTCGAAATCGTGCAGGCTGTCGCACGCTTCGTCGTTCACCTTCCGCACGACGGTGTCAGATTTGAGCGCCTCTCCGAAGACGAAGCCGGCCTGAGCAACGTAGACACCCTTCAGAGGTATGTGGTGTTTCTGTCAGAAGAAGAAACACAGCATGAGAATAAACTGTCGGAGGTCTCCGCGGAATTCTTGCATCAGACCTGGATCCCCCTCTCTGTCGGAGGCGCCGCCAGAAGGGCCAGGGGACATTCCAAGAGATCCGGGCAGAACTCCAAGAATTTATGATTGTGCTGTTTGCTCTTCTTCAATCTGCGCTGTCTGGTACGGCACCTCGTGAAACACCCCGAGGCCCATCTCAAGGAACGCGTGCGGGATGATGGCATGGAAATCTTGCACGGTAAGCTCGAGCTCGAGGCGCTCGCCACCGCGGCACACGGCCACCCTGACCAGCTTCCCGACGGCCTCGTCGAGGACCTTGCAGGGAAAGCATACAGCGCAAAAGTTTGGCAGAGACGAGCAGTGAGATGACTCGTGCGACAGGAGGCGAGAGAGGGAGAAGACGTGTGCTGTATGACTAAATGATGCCAGCGCTGGAACCCCAAACAGCAGGTGCGCGATCTACGTGGCGCAACATGTAGACTGATGCATTGTATGTGGTGCAACACGTGTGTGTGTGCTGCAATATGCATGGTGCAACCGATCTGATGCAGTCTATGTGGAGCAGCATGCGCAGTGCAAACCGCGTGGTGCAAAGAAACTTGAGACCGTGAACTCCACTGCTCGTGCAAACATGCCACGCTCCCACCCGCAGCTGCTGGGCAAACCTCACACGGGCCGTGAGCGCAGGCACCCGTCGGAAACTGCCCACAAATCTCAGGTGGCGCAGCGACGCGAGGACCCCTGCGCGTGCCGATCCACTGCTCGGGCGAGCAAGTTGACCATGGTGGCGACGACATCGGCGACGACGACGACGACGATGTTGACGACGGCGATGGCGGTGGCGCCGACAACGACTGTGATGATGGTGATGAATCGAATGTGTCGGAAGTCCTACTTTGTTGAGTGGATTTGACATGCCCGTGGGGGCGCGCGCATGTTGCCCGCAGGGTTTCACGATATGGGGTTTGTAATAAAACGTTCTGGTTACATCAACGCATGTGCACCGCATTGCATCGCGTGCAGAACATGGCTGGGGGGTCGATACTTGTCTGGCAGGAACGATACTGTTTGAGACCCCCCCCCGGGAATTCGCACTGTCTGCGTACTTCTTGCTGGGGGGCCTCGCGCGAACCACGATGTGTAGGGCGATCGTTCAACGTGTGTATATATACACACATACGTACATACACACATATATATAGATATATATATATATATATAGATTTACATCTACATATGCATGTACCTAAACAGATACGGGCACATATACATATACACATACATATACACATGAGTTATATAGATGTATACATACATACACGTACACATTCACACATACATATGCATAAGCATATGAATATGAATGTACGCAAACATAAACATACACATAGAAGCATTAACGTATACATATACACCCATATACATGTATACATATATATATATATATGAATAGGCATATACATATACATATGCATAAACATATGCCTATGCAAATACTTGTACATGAACATATACATGAGCGTATACACATACATAGCCATAGTAATAAACAGGTGCATGCACATATGCGTATAAATATACCTATACAGAAAACGGCACATACATCCGTACATCACATATACATATACAAATACGCATACCGCATACATGTATCTTTATATATACGTAGGTATATACATGTATATATACATGTGCAGATACACGTACACCTACATATGCATATACATCTGCACATACATACAACAAATGCATGCATACATACATACATACATACATACACAAATACATACATACCACAACCTGTATACATATACAAATATGTGCGTGTGTGAGAAAGAACAGCAGCAACAACAACAACAAAACAATGCGGAGGGGGGCCGATCCCCGCCTCGGCATGGGAGTAAAGTCCGCGGACCCCTTGTGAGTCTCCAGGTGCGTGAGACTGCTCCCCACTCACAGTCCACCCCCCCAGGGACCTCGAAATGGCAATTCGACCCCCCCGGGGTTCTGGGACGAACGCATCACGGGGGGATAGGGCCCCAAAACGGGCCAAGAGGGCGTCAAGAGACACCCAACACTGTCCAAGAGGGCCCCGAGTCGCCGAACGATCACTCCAAGATGCCCAAGACTGCCTCCAGACGGCCCAAGATTCCCCCAAGACGCCCCAAGGCGCCTCCAAGAGCCCCCTCCAGAGGGCCCTGAGAAGCACAAACATTGATCCCCATTGGGTTCTATTCTGCCCGTCTCGTCTTTTCGGTTCCCCGGCGCCCCAAGATGGCCCAAGAGGCCCCCAAGATCGGGGGCGCCGTTGGAGCAGGTTCGGGCTGCCAGAGGCCACTGGGAGAGCCTGAATCCCACCACTCGCGCCCCCAGTCTCGTGCCCTTTGTTCCAGACGCCTTGTGGTTCCCGACGGCGGCACGGCGGCGGGCGGCTCACGACCCTGATGCGGTGGCGGGCTTTTCCTCCCGCGGTGTCTCCACCGTCTTTCCTCTCCGCCGCACTTCTCTCTCTCTCTCTCTCTCTCTCTCGGCTCCTGTCTGGGCGCGCCCCCCCGGCGCCGTCATCGACATCTTCGTCGCCACCCCTCCGTGCCAAACCCCCACTGACTCCGCACCATGCAGCGCTGCTCCGGACTCGAACCCGCAAAATGGTCACCAGAACGGCCATCCATCCCTTGCAAGACTTGCACTTCAGGGTGCCGTGATTTTTTTCGGCGCGCGCGATTCCAGTCACGGAAAACGCCGCTTTCGGGAACCTCCTTTTGCACGGGACACTGCATTGATACGCTTGCCAACTGCGCGCCGTGGACCCAATGTCGTTGCAGCCTGAGCAAACCACTCTGGCCCCTTTCTTCTTGTGGTGAGCCCACACTTGGTTCTCTGTCAAATGCTCCTTCTCCCCGAACGTTGTTCCGGAATTCAGCCGCGCAGCACTTCAGCGGCTGCGCCTCAGCCTCGGCTTTTCTTTGGCGACGTGGTATCTCGCGGCCCCCGCGAGGCCCCCGAGGGGCCCTCGAGAGGCCTCCAAAGACGCCCCCAACAGGTCCCCAGGAGGTCTGACAATGCCTGGATTCTGCGTGCTGCGGACATGCACCTCGCGACGCGAGAGGAACCCACGCCGGGAGGTGACGTGCTGAGCGGCAGCGTTATGCGGCGAACGCCTGACTGCAATGTATCCCATACATACTGTTAATTCGGCGAACGCCTTAATGCAATGCGTTATTCGGCGAACGCCTTAATGTTATTCGGCGAACGCCTTAGAGTATTGCGTGAGTGATACATACTGTTTCGTGATACATTATAGCGTACCCCCCCCCAGCCCCCCACCGAGGCCACACCACTTCCGTCGACCCCAAAATGGAGGACCGTGTCTTGTCTCCGGAACCTTTACGAAAAAAAGGGTTGGAAATCTATGATTTGGGCCCCCTGGGGCTCTTGGGGCTCTAAGAACGGCTCACGACGGCCTCAGTACGGGCCAAAACGGCCCCAAGACAGTCCAAGATAGCCCCAAGACGGCCCAAAAAGTCCCCGAGACGGCCCAAGAGGGCCCCAAGATCACGGGCTCTGGACGTGCACCCCGCGAAGCGAGAGAAATCTGAGTACTTTTGAAACGGAATCTGGGTGGCGCAATACGCGTGGTCTCCTGTGGTCGTTTCCAACCATAGGGCACCAACCATCCGATGCCGATCATGCGGCACCGATTGGAAATTGCCGACCACGGTGCAGATGGCCACGGGGCACCATGGCATAATAGGGTGCCAGCCACAGGGTACCGACCAGGAACGGCCGACTGCGACACCGAGGGCCAACCGCAGGGCACCATGTCATAGGGCACCAGCCACAGGGGACCGACCAGGAACGGCCAACCGCGACTCCGAGGGCTAACCGTAACCATAGGGCACCAACGCAAAAGACACCAGTCACACGGCACCGACATCAAACTACCAACTGCGACACCGAGGGCCAACCAGAGGGCACCAACGCAGAAGGCACCAGCCTCAGGGCACCGACAAGGAACGACCGGCTGCGACACCGTGGGCCAGCCAGTGTGCACCAACACTGCGGGGCACCAGCCACAGGGCACCGACCTGAAACGGCCGACAGCGACGCAGACAGTCAACCGTAACGCACCAATGCAGCAGGGCACCAGCCACAGGGCAACGACCAGCAACGGCCGCGTGCGACCGCGTGGGCCAGCTCTTCAGAGCACCAGCAAGAGGGCTCCTACGCGAGTGCAGGCCCTGCTTTGGGGGGGAGGTGCGCAAGTGGACTCTGCGCTGGCCTTGCTTCACGGCTTCCCCCACCCTGAGACCTGCTCCAGCAGCACGAAGTCTGCGCAGGGACGCCCGCCCAGCTCCAGCAGCACGTCCCCTGGCTTCAAGGCCGCCGCCGCAGCGCTGCCCGGGACGCACCGCTGCACCTTCAGCATGCCGCCCGGCGGGCAGCCCTGCGAGAACGTGCCGCCCTGCGGCGGCGCGCCGCCGCCCCCGAGCACCGCGGACTGCACGAAGGCCTCGGGCACGCCCAGGCGCACGCACTCGGGGAAGGACGCGTACAGGAACGCCGCGCACAGCGTCCCGCGCGGCGCCGGCGCGCCTGCCTGGACGAGCTCCAGCGCGCGCAGGACGCGGTGGAGGGGCAGGAAGAGGGCGTGCATCGTTCGGCGGCAACTCACGGGAGCCTCCCATACCATCCTGTCGGCTCCTGCGAATCGACGCTCATGGACGCGAAACCGACGCGAAATCGACGCCAATCGACGCTGAGCGACGCGAAATCGGCGCTATCGCATCGACACCCAGACGCTAATCGACGCTAAAGACGGAATGAAGAAAAGAGTACATCAGGCTCCCATGATTGGCCACCGAATGCATCGTGTTGCACTTCGCCGCCGCGTTCAGCGCCACGGCGCGCCCCAGCTGGCTGATGACCGGAGAGCCGCTGGAGCCGCCGCGAGAGCCCGAGCCTGCCAGTATGTAGAAGGTGTTCTCGTCCTGGTAGTCCCCGTCCAGCTCGGGGACGTTGCGGTCCACCCGAGCGATGGTGCCAGCAAGTATCTGGAGCTTCTCCATGCTGTCGTTGCCCACCACGCGGATCTCCTCCCCCACGCGGCAGCCCGCGGGGTCCAGAGGGATCTCTGCCCGCGGAGTGCTCCGCAGGCGGCGGGGATCGAATCGCAGGAGGGCGAAGTCGTGCCCCGGGTCCACGTAGACCACCTCCACTGGCAGCTCCTCCATGGACGGGTGCCCCACGAACGTGGCCGTGGCGCGCGCCGGGCCGCAGGTGCAGACGTGGCGGTTGGTGAGCACCAGGCCGCGCTCCGCGTCGACGACGAAGCCCGTGCCCTCGTGCGCGCCCGGCGTGTCGTCCGCGAAGCTTCGGACGGCAGTGACCTGCAGCGACACCACCGCAGGCTTCGCCGCATCGATGGCAGACTGCCACCCGTCAGGCGCAGGTGTCGGTGGGCTTCCAGGGGCCGGCGCCGCCATACTGCTGGCGCGGACGAGCTGGACCGCCCGCAGGAGCGTCACGCAAGCCGCCCCGGAGCCAAGATGGCTGCAGAGGGGAGAGTCGCAGCAGGGGCAGGAGAGGCCTCCTCCTCCTCCCCCCCCCCTTCTCCTCCTCCTCCTCCTCCTCCTCCTCCTCCTCCTCCTCCTCCTCCTCCTCCTCCTCCTCCTCCTCCTCCTCCTCCTGAGCATCATCATCACCATCATCATCATCATCATCATCATCATCATCATCATCATCATCATCATCATCAGCATCAGCATCAGCATCAGCATCAGCATCAGCAGCAGCATCAGCAGCAGCATCATCATCATCGTCATCATCATCAGCATCATCATCTCCTTGAGGGTCCGGACCGCCGATCTGCCTGAAAGCTGGGGCGCGCTCGCGCGCTCCCCGGGGCGCGTCGCGCGCCAGCAATCCGAGAGCTGCGGGGAAAAACAAAGAGTTCCGAGTGCCCCTGTCGGGAACGGCCAAGGAGGGGGTTGCCCAAGAGGGGGGGGGGTGCAAATCATGACCGGCGGAACGTGCGCGGCCCAGCGGGGGGGCCAGAGACGTAATGAAACAAGAGGAGGCGCCATAAAATCTGAGGAAATATCATGGCCCCCGCCATGATATCCACCCCCCCCTAGTCCTCACCCCCCTCTTTGCCGCCCCCGACCTTGATGAGCCCTGATAGGGGTGCGGGCGGCGGTAAGAGAGAAGCAGGGGATAACGGCGGTGCGTCTTTTGCTGGTGGCGGTGCTGGGGGCCCCGTGCGCAGAGCCCCTGCCACTCCTGGGAGCTTGACGACCCAGGGTGGTGGGCGGGTTCCTCAAATCGACCGAGCGCCTGAGCCACAATGGCAACAAACGTCGGGCAGAAGAGGAGGATACACTTACGTGACTTCCTCTTGTTTATACATGTGACAAACAACATTGCCTATATGCATGTTTCATACACATATATATATCAAAGAACAACAACTAATAATAAAAAAGCCCTGGAAGGAGCACAATGAATGAAAACAATGGAAACGAATCATCAATAGCTATTTCTGAAATGGCGACTCAACAACAAAAACAACAACTACAACAACTACAACAATAACCACAACAACAAAACATCAATACCAACAACAACCACAATAACAACAACTACTACAACAACAGCAGCAATCATAGTAAGACTGATCGCTCCTATCTGGTCACGTGCCATTCAACACTTATATCCCAAACAAACCCTCGGTACCCGCCCTCGTCGTCTTCCATTGTACCCCCTCAAGGATCTATCTTCATTACTTGCCACGTGCATGTAGTGCACCCCCTAAAGCAGGGGACGAGAGGACGGGTGAAAGGGGGAGGGAAAAAAATGGAGCACGAGAGAAATTAGCAGGAGGAGAGCAAGGAGCAGAAAACAAGTGGCTGAACGAGACGTGCAGATCGGGTGGGCAAACCCATGGCGGGCAGGTCGGGAAGGCGGGCCCAAGCAACCAGGTCGAGCAGGCGTGTTGCTGAAGCGTGGGTCCTGCATGAATTGCGCGGAAGTCTCGAGCGACAGCGCGATTCCCAAGCAAATCGTGAGAAAGCTCAGAGCGAGAGCGTGATTCCTGAACGCACAGGGCGCATCGTCTGCATAAATTGCGAGGACTTTCCGCGCGAGAGCGCGATTCGTACATTAAGTGTGAGGAAATCCGGCGCGAGAGCGCGATTCTTCAATAAAAGGCTAAGAAATATCGAGCGGGAGCCGCTGTTGTTGTAAACCGGGGGCCGGGGGCGCACTTTAAGGAGGAAGATCTTCTTTGATAAACACAAGGTGCGAGCCCCAGGAGGGGCACTTCAACCAAAAAACGCTTGCGTTACCTGAGGAGGGGAACAACAATAATTATGCTTCAAAAATGAAAATTAAACAGCACCAAGAACAAAGACAACAATAAGAACAACAACAATAAGAACAACAACAACAACAACGACAACAACAACAGTAAGTTTAAGACTGTTCGCTCTTATCTGCTCGCGTGTCATTCAATATGCATATCCCAAAACCTGGATAACCGCCCTCTTCGTCTTCAATGGTACCCCCTTTTAGGGGGTATATTCATTCCCTGCCACGTGTGATTGGTGAAGCCCTTGAAAACGAAACGAAGGGCATTCTTCTATGGGGCCGCAAAGGGCGACAGCGGCGCCACTGAGGGCAACAAAGGGGCCACGAAGGGCAGCGAGAGGGCCACGAAGGGCGACAGCGGGGCTACGAAGGGCATGCGTATGGGGCCACGACGGGCGACTGCGAGCGGGGGCCACCGAGGGCATATGATGCGGGGCCACAATGGGCAGCGACGGGGCCACTGAGGGCAGCAACAAGGCCACGAAGGGCAGCGAGCGAAGGCGACCGCAGAACCAGTACGGACAGCAAGGGGCATCGAAGGCAGCGAAGGGCAGCGAGCGGCGACTGCAGTCCCTAACGGGCTGGTCGGGCGGGCAGGCCCAGACGGTCGGGTCGAGCTGGCGGGTCGTTGAAGCGTATATTCTGCTTGAACCGCCAGGCAATATGTAGCGGGAGCGACCATTCCTGAGTGTCGAGGAGCGGTATCTGAATAAATTGTGAGGAAGTATCAAGCGGGAGCCGCGATTCGGTGGTAAGTTGCGAGGAGGTCCCAAGCGAGAGCGCAATTCTTCAATAAATTGTCAGGAATCATCAAGCGGGAGCCGCGATCCAGTGGTAAATTGCAAGGAAGTCCAAAGCGAGAGCGCGATTCTTCAATAAAGTGTGAGGAAGTATCAGGAGGGAGCCGTTGTTGTTGCTGTTGTTGTAAACTGGGGGCCAACGATGCAGTTTGACGCTCAAGACCTTCCCTGATAAAGGACAGGGTGCGAGCCCCGGGAAGGGCACTTCAATCTAAAAAAACAATGTGCACCGGACGGGGGGGATCAACAAAATTATTCTTCAGAAATGAGAGTTCAACATGATCATGAACAACAACAACAACAACAACAACAACAACAACAACAACAACAACAACAACAACAACAACAACAACAACAAGAACGACGACGACAACGACGACAACAACAACAACCGCAGCAGCAGCAGCAACGGCAGCAACAATAACAATAACAACAACAAGAACAACAACAACGACAACAACAGCAGCAACAACAACACCAACAGCAATAGAAAAACAACAACAACGACAAAAACAGCAACAACGACAGTAGCAACAACAACAAAGAAAACAAACCAAACATATAAACAAACAAACAAACAAACAAACAAACACAACAGAAACAACAACAACAACAACAACAATAACAACCACAGCACCATCAGCAGCAGCAGCAACAACAACATCGACAACAGCAACATCAACAACAACAACAACAACAACAATAACAACAACAGCAACAGCAACAGCAACAGCAACAGCAACAGCAACAGCAGCAGCCGCAACAACAGCAACAATCACTCTAAGACTGTTCGCTCTTATCTGCTCGCGTGCCATTCAACACGTATACACAAAACCCTCGATAACCCGCCATTTTCGTCTTCGATCATACCCCCTTGGGGGTTCTATCTTCCTGACCTGCCGCGTGTAATCGGTGCAGCCTCTGAAAGAAGGGAAGGGAGGACGGATGGAAGGGGGAGGGAGAAGGATGAAGCACGGGAATAGCAGGAGGGGTGCTGGGAGCACCCGTGGCAGAACCACACGGGCCCATCGGGCGGGAAGACCCTAACAGGCGGGTCGAGAAGGCGAGCCCAGGCGGCCAGGTCGAAAAGGCGTGTCGCTGAAGCATGAGTGCTGCATGAATCACGAGGAAGTCTGGAGCGATAGCGCGATTCCAAAATGAATCGCGAGAAATGCAAAAGCGAGAGCATGATTCCTGAGTGTCAAGGGCGCGGCGTCTGAATGAATTGCATGGAAATCCCACGCGAGAGCACGATTCCTGCATAACTTCCCACTTTTACAATTAATTGTGAGGAAGTATCAGGCGGGAGCTGTTGTTGCTGTTGTTGTAAACTGGGGGGCAGGGGCACAGTTTGGTGACACCACGCTTCCCGGGATACAAAACAAGGTGCCAGCCACGAGGGGTGCACTTCAATTGGAAAAAACAGACTGGTTACCTGATGGGTGGTCAACTATGAATACTATTCAGGAGTGAGAAACTAACAGCAGCAGCAACAACAACAATAAGAAGAATAATAAGAAGAATCAGATGTCGGAATACATTGTGAAGAAGTATCAGGCGGGAGCGGCTGCTCTTGTAACATGGAAACCAAGGACACAATGTGAGCACGAAGACTCTGCTGATAAAAACCGGGTGCGGGCCCGAGATGGCACATTAATTGAAAAACACCATGGGCACTGGAAAGGGGGATCAAACATACTTATTATCCGGTCTGCTCGCTCCGGTCTGCTCGCGTGCCATTCAATACGTCTACCCCGAAACCCCGATACCCGCCCATTTCGTTCTTGATCGTACCTTCCTTGGGTGTATATCTTCCTGGCCTGCCGCGCGTAATTGGTGTAGCCCCTGCAAGAAGAGAAGAGAGGACGGATGGAAGGGGGAGGGAGGAGGATGGAGCACGAGATAAATTAGCAGGAGCGGGCTGGGAGCAGAAAACACGTGGCTGAACCAAACGGACAGATCGGGAGGGCAAACCCAGGCGGCCAGGTCGAGCAAACAGGTCGCTGAAGCAGGCATAATCCTACATAGATCGCAGGGAAATCCCAAGCGAGAGCGTGATTCCTGAGTGTCAGGGGCACGGCGTCTGAACAAATTCAAAAAAGTCCCACGCGAGAGCACGATTTCTGCATAAGTTGTGAGGAAGTCCTGCGCGAGAGCGCAATTTTTGAATGCATTGTGATGAAGTATCTGGCGGGGGCCGCTGCTCTTGTAAACTGGGGGCCAAGGACACAGTTTGAGCACGAAGACTTTCCCTGATAAAAACCGGGTGCCGGGGGGGTCAAAATGTGGCTCTCGCCTTAGTGCCGCGTACATTCGTT